GCTGTGGCTCTCTTGCAGCCCTGCGTGGAGGCTGAGGACAGAGCTCTGCAAGTCTAGAGTCCAGCAGAGAAGTCTGGTTGGAAAGATCCCCCAGACGTCCCCAGCAGACAGAGTTATTTACAATCATGAGGCTGGGTGTGGTGGCTCCCACCTGTAATCCCAGCACTTTGGGAGGCTGAGGTGGGAGGATCACTTGAGCTCAGGAGTTCGAGAACAACCTGGGCAACATAGGGAGACTCTATCTCTAAAAATATAATAAAATATATTAATCGGGCAAGGTGTGCACACCTGTGGTCCCAGCATCTTCGGAGGCTGAGGTGAGAGGATCATCTGAACCTGGGAGGTGGAGGCTGCAGTGAGCCATGAATGTGCCACTGCAATCCAGCCTGGTTGACAGAGCGAGACACTGTCTCAAAAATAAATAGATTGGTGCCATGGCTCATGCCTGTAATCCCAGCACTTTGGGAGACTGAGGTGAGTGGATCACCTGAGGTTAGGAGTTCAAGACCAGCCTGGCCAGCATGTGAAACCCCACCTCCACTAAAAATACAAAAATTAGCCGGGTGTGGTGGCACACGCTTGTAATCACAGCTACTTGGGAGGCTGAGGCAAGAGAATCACTGGAACCCAGGAGGCGGAGGTTGCAGTGAGCCAAGATTGCACCACTGCACTCCAGCCAGGGTGACAGAGCGAGACTCTGTCTCAAACAACAACAAAAATTAGCTGGGATGGCGTGCACCTATAATCCCAGCAATAAAATAAAATAAAATAAAATAAAATAATCATGAGGTTGGAGGGGATCCCCTGGGGAGTGAGTGGAGGGCACTGACTTCTGGGTGCAGCATGTTTGAAGGTCAGGGTGGACTGAGAAGTGACCAAGAAGATACAACAAAACTCAGCAATGCGTGGCATCCTGGCAGCCAGGAGAATAAAGCGTTTCAAGGAAGCAAGAGTGGTCAGCAGGTCAGAGGCTGCTGCTGTGTCTATAATCTGAGGACTGAGGACTGATCACTTTAGTTAGGCATTGGAGACTCAGAGGAACAGTTTCAGGAAAGTTGAGGAGCAAAAACCTGAATGGGGAGGGAGGGAGAAAATGGAGACAGTGGGGATAGACGAGTCTCTGAGAATTTCCTGTGTGTGCATACACGTGTGAGTGTGCATGTCTGTATGCATGCATGTGTGTGCGTGTGCATATGTGCACGTGTGTGTGGAGAGCAGAGAAATGGAGAGGCTGTTGGAGAGGGAAGTGGGTCAAAAGATTTCTCTAGGACAGGGGCATTTACACCAAGCTTGTGTGCTGCCAGAAATGAGCCAGGGGAGAGGTGAGGACTGATGCAACTGAGAGAGAGGTCAGGACCGATGCAGCCAAGAGAGAGGTCAGGACGGAAGTGGTAGGAGCGGGGAGCTACGAAAGCCATGCCCTGGAGCAGGCACGGGCATCTGCGCACAGGTGGCGCCGGTCTCAAACGCAGACAGTGCACCGTGGGGAGCAGATGGGAAGGCGGACAAACATGGTGGGCAGGTAGCGGTGGTGCAGGGAACCAGTGGGAATTCTCTTCCGGTGGCTTCAAATTTTTGGGTGGAATGAGAGAGGACGAGGCCGTCAGCTACGAGTGAGGTCTGGGAGGAGGCACGAAGAGCTGCGGAAAGGGGAGGGTGGAGTTGCTGTCCTGGAGGGTCGGGGAGCGGACAGAGCACAGAAACGCAAGTGAAAAGCCCGCCTTGGCTCGGGGGTTCTGACCTGATGGTAAGCTCTGCCCATGTGGTAGTGGGGCATCTCCAGAAACTTCTACTGCACAGGGGCTGGTGCAGGCATGGAGTGCAGGATGTAACAGGGCTGAGGTTTCACCAGGTAGGGAGGACCCAGCAAGAGAGGCAGGCGGGGAGGGTGAGTGCAAGGCAGGGCTGGTCACTGACATGGCAAAGAGGGAAGGCATGAGACAGGCGAGGGGCTGTAAGAAGGCCACGGGTTCTAAGGGTCACCATCCCAGTGGCGTCAAAGGTCGCTGGGGGCCGGGCATGGTGGCTCATGCCTCTAATCCCAGCACTTTGGGAGGCCAAGGCGGGCGGATCACAAGGTCAGGAGATCAAGACCATTCTGGCTAACATGATGAAACCCCGTCTCTATTAAAAATACAAAACATTAGCCGGGCATGGTGGTGGGCACCCGCAGTTCCAGCTACTCGGGAGGCGGAGGCAGGAGAATGGCGTGAACCCGGGAGGCGGAGCTTGCAGTGAGCCAAGATCACGCCACTGCACTCCAGCCTGGGCGACACAGCGAGATTCCGTCTCGAAAAAAAAAAAAAAAAAAGTCACTGGGACTGAGAATTGCAGGATGAGTGACAAGGTGAAAGTGGAAAATGAACAGTGGGATGTTTGAGACAGACGCTGGAGGGTCAGGGGCGTAGTGTGTAAGCGAGTGGCTGCAGGGGTGGGGTCACTCACTGGATCGACGTGGCCACTGAAGGCACCAAGAACAAGGCCGGACTCATAGTGAGAAATGAGAGAGAGAAAGAAGGAAAACTCGCCAAGGAAGCAGGCGACTGCTGAAACGAGGGGCAGTGGGGGACGCAGTCTCGTGGTGTTACTGGAAAGAGGTCCCGATCCAGACCCCAAGAGAGAGTTCTTAGATCTCATGCAAGAAACAATTCAGGGCGAGTCCATAAAGTGAAAGCAAGTTTATTAGGAAAGTAAAGGAATAAAAGAATGGCTACTTTATAGGCAGAGCAGCAACATGAGCTGCTGGTTGCCCATTTTTATGACTATTTCTCGATGATATGCTAAATAAGGGGTGGATTATTCATTTCTGGGAAAGGGGTGGGCAATTCCCAGGAACTGAGGGTTCTTCCCCTTTTTAGAGCATATAGGGTAAGTTCCTGATGTTGCCATGGCATTTGTAAACTGTCATGGTGCTGGTGGGAGTGTCTCTTAGCATGCTAATACATTATCATTAGTGTATAATGAGCAGTGAGTATGACCAGAGGTCACTTTCATTGTCATTTTGGTTTTGGTGGGTTTTGGCCGGCTTCTTTACCACAACCTGTTTTAGCAGTAAGGTCTTTATGACCTGTATCTTGTGCTGACCTCTTACCTCATCCTGTGGCTAAGAATGCCTAACCTCCTGGGAATGCAGCCCGGCAGGTCTCAGACCCATTTTACCCAGCCCCTGTTCAAGATGGAGTCACTCTGGTTCACACACCTCTGATGATGGTATGTGGGGTCAAGGGTTAACTGAGCTGTTTCCCTTTTGGCAAGAGAATTTGATTGTGGGTTGACTTTCTAGTCCTGTTTCCCTGGTAACCTGAGAAAGTTGTCTATGCTACTCGAACAACATGGTTTATGATAAAAATAAATAATGGATGGGGCTTGTGGAGGCTTAAGGAATAGGCTTATCCTTGGAGGAGGCTGGGGAACTCCCCGTCTCCAGCCCCAGTGGTCCAAGGGTGTGGAAGAGAAACAGCCACTGCCTAAGAGGCTCCCAAGGAAACCGTGGTTTGTCCCACAGCACAGCAAATGGGGCTCGTGGATTCCGGGTCCCAAAGCAGAGCTCTGTGGGACAGACCATCCCGAGGCAGAGGCTGGTCTCAGTAGGAGCAGCCGTGCACTGCTCTGCATGAGAGCTCTGGTCACCCAGAGCCAGTCCAGCTCAGTAACCAAGCAAACCACACGCTCTTCTTTCTCGAATAATATTTTCCGCAATAACATGCCATAAGGAAATGCCAACGAAGCCCAGCCCACAGGTCAGAAAAATAAGGAGGTCATTTGACAATGCAGACAGCCTGAGACTGAGGTAGCATTTGTGGCCACATTCTTGGACATGACACGAAACCATCTTCTCATATTTCTGGGTCTCAGGAGGCTGAAGTCTCCTTCATGTGTTAATTCGGAGCTCAGTTCTGACTGGCTGGTGGCTGCTCCTTCCAGAGTTATCAGTTTTGGAGCTGAAGCAGCTCTTCAGAAAGACAATGGTTTTCCCAAGGCAGAGCAAGGCTGCAGGCTGGTTGCTAAGCAAAGGGGGAATCAAAACATCTGTCTGAAACAGAAGCTGTGAGGCAAGACAAAGCCAGCTGGCAGACATACATCAGCCGGCTAAGGGACTCTCCTGTCCTCCCACTGCTGCTCCCTCACCAAAAAGTCCAGGCCACATGAAAGAGCCACAGAGTGAGGGGACACTCAGAACACATCACCCCCAGCGAATGCACTACCTCCCACCAACGCCATGCCCACGTCACAACCCAGCCAGAGAAAATACGAGAAGGTTTGGTTTCCTGCAGTCAGAGCCAGAGACCCATCTGTGGGGAGGGTGGGCCCTCCGCTTCCCCCCGCACTTTCCATACCCCTCCCTGCACTGAGCCATAGCCAAAGAGGGAGGCCAGCTCTCCTAACAAGAGGGCTTGAGCACAGGACTGGCCACTGAGTCTTTGTAGTTGAGTTTTTTCCTTAAAAATAAGAAATCCAGAAAAACAGTTTACACCTTAAAAAGCCAGGCCCAGTGCCAGACATGCCTCGGGCAGAGCCAGTGACAGCACCCAGCACGATGGGCAGCTCCCTACACTTCGGGATGAGGCAGAACAGGCAGGGCTGGGCTGTGTTTTCACTGGGCTTGGTAGCCCCTGACCCTCCTACCCAACGGGGAACAAGAAAGAAGCACAAAAATGCCCATTTCTCTCCAAGTGTGTGCACCTTCTCTTCTGACAAGAAGGAGGGGTAGAGCAATGTTTCCTAGCCACCAGGGAAGTCCCGGAGCGGGGCTTCCATGCCGCACTGCCTCGCACAATCACCCCTAATTAGGTCCTAACAAATTAGGTCCTGCGGCTGCAGGTTCTGATCCTGGCTACCGTTCCAGTTTCTTCAGTTACTTCTTCCTGAACCTGCCAAACCAGTTCCTCGGTTCCTCCCCAGCTCTTCTTCCTCTCTCAGGTGATTCCTCTTGGGAAGGCTCCTCCCACCTCAGGGCCGCCTCCCTATTTCCACATGAGCATGAACACACCCACACGTACTCCTCTAGAAGTCATGTGGTGCGACCTGTGTATGCCTCCTTTTGCTACATGAGATCCAGGAAGGAGCCCGGCTTTGGGAACTGAGGGAGCCTAAGCGAGGAAGCCACACACCCTGTCACACTTCAATTTCACCACTCAACAAAGGGTCTAGATGCCCACTGTGTGCCAGGCATGGTTCTAGGTTCTGGAGAAAAACAGGCAGTGAGGAAGGAATATGATGAGAACAGAGCCATCAGAGAATAAGAGAAGCCAAGTGAAGAAAATGCTTCCAGAAGCAGGTGTGATCATCTGGGGGATGCTGTTGGATGGAAGGCTGAGCAGCCAAAAGTTCCTGGGGGCCTTGAGGAAAGGTTTCAGAAGAGTGGGAGGACAGCGCCTGGCTGGAGCCACTTCAAGGGAGACTGGGAGGAGGGAAGGTATGTAGACGACCTCGCTGCATGGGAAAACCAAGAGATGAGGTGGGGGCCAGGGTCAAGAGACGGTTTCTTAATGTGAGCCATGACAGCCTGTTGGTATAATGGTGGAGTTAGGAAGGAAAGGGGGAAACTGCAGGAGCAAGGTCTTGAAAGATGAGAGGGGACAGGGTCAGTGGGCTGGGCGGGGGGAGGGCCTGGGAGGCTGTCCACAGTGCCAGAGCCAGGGAGTGGGTGCGGCGGCTGTTGAAAGTTCTTAGTTACCTTCATTTTCCCAGTGAAATAGGAAGCAAAATCATCAGGTGTGAGGGGGACGAGATGTCAAAGGCCTGAGGAGATGTGAAATAGTCATCTTGGAGGCCAGATGGCTGGGGAAATGCAGGAAGATTTTTTGATTCCACACAGCCCTGGAAATCCTTCATGAAGTCTCACAGAACAGTCAATATTGCTGTTTTTCTCTCCAGCCACATTTAGCAACACGAGTGCACGCAGGGTGTAGAGGAGGGCGGGAGAGGGCTAGAGTCACTAAGAGCTGGGGATACCGCCGACAGGTGTGCAGCAGAGGGAACGGGGCAGAAAAAAGGGCAGTGGGAGGATGGCGAGTGAGAGGACAACAGAGCAGGTGGGTGAGCCTCCCCGTGACCTCACCCAGACAGGGGTAGACAGACCCAGTGAGCAGGGAACTCAGCTCCTCAATGAATGGAGAGGTGTGGCCAAGGAGGAACATGGATTCCAAACGGTTCCTCTTAGAGAGGGAAGAGGAACCATGGCCCGAAGGAGCACTGCAGGACAAGGGCAGGGACAGGGCGCCTACCCTGCCTCCACCACCAGTCCCAAGGACAGCAGAGCGGTCTCAAGAGAAGCCCCAGCTTGAGGGGAGTGCGTGCTGTAAGGGAAGCATTCAAAGAAGAGGCCGACCACTGGGGGTAGGTCAGGGTTGGTGGAGGTTGTGCTTATTGAAGACAAGACAGACACAGTTTCAGAAGGCTGGGGAGTGAGGGGAAGAGTTGATCAACTTCCTAAAAGTCAGCTCCTACTCCATATTTCAATCCAGAATCCAGAAAACAGGCCAAAATTCATTTTTCGGGACCCTCTGATTTATGTTGTTTGATGAGAAAATGAGCATGCGTTAGGGACACACTGGGACTTGTTTGCTCACCTGGGTTAGAGGGGCGACCAGACGGCCTGCTGAGCCCCAGGCTCTCAGGAGCCTCTGAACACCAGGACACGTGGTCCAAGAAAGATGAAGGAACAAACAGCCAAATCCAGCTCTGAGTAAACACATTGATTCTGCTTCCTTATTCACAGCTCCACACGCGGCACATCTCGGGCAAATATGGTTTGTGACTCTCTGGCTTTGTCCATACGTGCCTGCTCTTATGTACTGAGGCCCTGTCTATCACCAGGGGAAAACAGCATGCTACGTTTTACAAAAGGGCAGAAGAAGAAACCTTCTCAAATGACCCTAGTTACCGTCATTACGTGAATTTGGAAACAGCTTCCTACACTTTACCAGTGGCTTTCTGTACCTAGAATTAGCTGCTGCCTCAAAAAATAAAAATAAAAATAAAAATAAAAAAGGCTTTTGGCTTGGTGAGAACCTGGCCCCAGAATCTTAATCGTGTCATCGCCAGGATTCTCAAACTACATGCCGAGGTGCACTCCTGGACCGTAAGCTGTTGCGCTGTGTGCTGTGAACCAAAGGTCAAACGTGTGTGAAAAACATTGGCCTGAGCAGGGCTTGAAATCTGTCATCCACTAACAGGAGCTGCACGGCTCCAAAGAAAACAGGTCTCCCAGTCACCTGCACACGACAGTTTTCTGCTCCAGGGCCCCTCCTTGGGGAAGCCCGCTTCACAGAATGAACACTGCCTGCCTGGGATGCCTGCCCTGACTCCTGCCAGAGGGCTTCCTTGCCCTCCCAAACCCTGGCCTTTTGAGGCAGGATGCCTACCCACCACCTGCCCCAATTTCTGAACACCATGGCCCCCTTACTACCTCTTGCCACTCCTGGTCCTGCACCAGGCTGTTGTCCGCCTCAAGCACCTGAGCCCCACCTGGATGTTCCCAGCCCTGAGCTTGGCTCCCTGGACCTGTGTCTCAAGACTCAGCTGGAAGCTACACAGAGGTGCTCCCTAGAGGGCAGGCTCCATCTGGGCTTGTCTGGAAGCCCACGGGGCCGGCTCAGAGCCTGTGCAGAGACAACCGAACATCCCATGGGAAAAGGGTCAGGCTAAGGGGAGGGAGACAGGTGCCAGGGCATGGCTGTGAAGACAGGAGCTGGGGTAACTGAGCAGAGTGCGCTGCCTGCCACCTGGGGCCCGAGCTCCATGCCTGAATCACAGGGGGAGACGGCAGGAGAGTGGGGCTGGAGACGGGGCAAGCAGCCCTTACCCACCCAACAGTGACCACGTGCAAATGGCCGTGCTGGGCAGAGCCGGCCACACTGGCTCCATTGTTTTGGCCATTTGTATTTTTCCCTTGGAGAATTGCTCATTATATCCTTTGCCAATTTCTCTGTTGAACTATTTGTCCTTCTTCATGATCTATAGGAGTTCTTTTATACGCTACGATCATCCATCTTTGGCCTTTTTCTAGGTTACAAAAGGCTGCACAAACTTTCCTTCTGGGCTACTGCTTGTCTTTTCACTACGTTTATGGTGTCTTTTGATATACTGGAGTTTTCCATTTTTATGTAGTCAAATCTATCATTCGGACACAGGAGGAATGGGAGGCAGGGGTCCTGGGAGGCAAACGCTGGCTCTCCAGATCTGCGCACTGGCTATGCGAGTGTGTTCGCTGGGTGAAGATTCATGGAGCTCAATGCTTAGAGTGTTCATTTTTCTCTATTTATGTTACACTTCAATAAAAATATTTCTTATATCAGGTTTATTTCCTTTACGACTTCTGAGTTTGATGCTTTCCTTAGAACATCTTTCCATACTGTAATGCTGTGAAAGCATCTCCTATATTTTCTAATACTTTGAAAGTTGTTTTTTTACACTTAAATACCTCTGCATTTATTTTAATGTATGATAAAACGTAGGACTCTCAGTGTCCATATGGATAGTTTTGGTCACAGGCTTAACAAAATCTTCCTTCCCTTCTGTATGAGAATTCGATGTTTAATTCTCTAGCTCTGGTTCCTAATCAAGGTAGAACGTCAACTCTGTTACTAGACAGCATTGCTCATGGTAAAAATGACCTTGACTGGCAAATTGCCTCTGGAGAGGGAAGACCCATAAGTGAATTATAACCACTCGGTGAAGATGCCAGGCATGGGGCTTCCTTAGGTGTGGTAACTCTTGTAACATGGAATGTCCCTTGTGTGAACCCAGGGCTCTGTAAGGCTGGTAAATATTTTTTTTTTTGAGACGGAGTCTCGCTCTGTCATCCAGGCTGGAGTGCAGTGGCACCATCTCGGCTCATTGCAAGCTCCACCTCCCAGGTTCACACCATTCTCCCGCCTCAGCCTCCCGAGTAGCTGGGACTACAGGCACCCACCACCACACCTAGCTAATTTTTTGTATTTTTAGTAGAGACGGGATTTCACCATTCACAGGATGGTCTCGATCTCCCGACCTCATGATCCGCCCGCCTCAACCTTCCAAAGTGCTGGGATTACAGTCGTGAGCCACTGCGCCCGGCCAAGGCAGGTAATTTTATAAGGGATTCTGGCTCCCTGGGGACCCAGGGCTTTCAGCTGGGGGAGGAGCTAGTGAACAGAAGGACAGCTGTGTGTGCAGCCACCTGCAAAAACTGCCAGGAAGACCCCTCACTCCCCTGGAAGCGGAGCAGCAGGAAGCATCCTGCTGGCCAGCCAAGGTTTCCAGCCTCTTCCTCTCTCAGCAGACCAGCCAAGAATGCCTGGGTGAATATCCAGCTGAATAGAGCAGGGGCCTCTTAGGCATTGCACAGATCAACCACAGCAACAGCAGGTGCTGAGTATCCACCCTTACCTTTCCCTGACGGACTGAAGTCATCACCTTTATAAGGAAGGAAGGAACACTGCTCACACCAGTCTGTTCTGAGCCCTCCACTCTACTGTGTTGATTTGTGCTGACAACCTCCACGATAGTTAGGGCTTGATAATGTGTTTTGCTATCTGGTAAATCAGTCTGTCTTTGTTGATCTTTTTCAAAATCTCGGCTATTTATTTTTGCCAGTCCTTCATCATTCAACAGTGTTTGCTAAGCCTCATTCCTACACCAGGCAGTGTTAAGGTAAAGTACTGAACGAGATACGTGATGCCCCTGTATTAGTTGCCTGGGTTGCTGTAACAAAGAACCATAGACCGGGGGGCTTAAAACAGCAGCAAATTTACTGTCTCACAGTTCTGGAGGCCAGAAATCCAAGATCAAGGCGTGGGCAGGGCCATCTTCCCTTGCTTTTCCCAGCTTCGGGTAGCCCAGGCATTCCTTGGCTTGTGGCAGTGTCACTCCCATCTCTGCCTCCATTGTCACATGGCTGTCTTCCCTGTGTGCCTTCACATGACATTCTCCTCTCTGCGTGTGTCTGCCTGTGTCCCTTTTCTTCTTATAAGCACACCAGTCACATTGGATTAAGGGCCCACCCCACAGCAGTACGATCCCATCTTAATTTACATCTTCATTGCATCTGCAAAGACCCTATTTCCAAATAAGATTGCAAGGTATCCTGGGTTAGGACAGCAATTTTTTTTTCTGGGGCACACAATTCAACCCACAATGCCCGTGGAGGTTGCATTTTTGCAGTGGACAACAGAAGACACCCACGCAGGCACACACATAAGGCAATTTCAGTGATAAGCACTAAGAAGGAAGGAAACCAGGCGTGGGGCAGGGACAGTTGATGTGTGGGGGCTGCAGGGTATTCCAGCCACAGAGGTCAGGAAGATCTTACTGTAGTCACTGAGGGGAGGGGGAGGGGAGGGGCAGGGGAGGGGAGGGGCAGGGGAGGGGAGGGGCAGGGGAGGGGAGGGGCGGGGGAGGAAGTAGCCAGGCCAACCCTTGGTGTATTAGTCTATTCTCACACTGCTATAAAGAAATGCCTGAGACTGGGTAATTTATAAAGAAAAGAGATTTAATTGGCTCATGGATCTGTATAGGCTATACAGGAAGCAAGGCAGCATCTGCTTCTTGGGAGGCCTCGGGGAGCTTCTACTCATGGCAGAAGGCAAAGAGGAAACAGGCAACTTACATGGCAGGAGCAGGATCAAGAGGGTGGGGTGGGTGCCACGCACTTTTAAACAATCAGATCTTGTGACAACTCACTGTTGCAACGACAACCCCAAGGGGGACAGTGCTGACCATTCATGAGAAACCGCCACTGTGGCCCAGTCACCTCCCACAGGGCCTCATCTGCAGCACTGGGGATCACATTTCAACATGAGTTTGGGTGGGGACATAGATCCAAACCATATCACCTGGGGGAGGGAGGGCAGGCAGGTGGGTGGTGGGTGTGAAGATTCTGAGCAGGAACGAGTCAGGCTGCTGAATGCAGTGAGCCCAGGAAATAGTGGGAGATGAGGGTGGAGGAAGAGGCAGGGCAGAGGACCAGGGCTGTGTGGGCCTCAAGCAAGTCACTATGTGGGGAGCAGGGGAAGAGCCAAGAGACTAGTTAAAAGGCTGCCAAGCAGACCAGAAAAGCACATGGGGCAGTGGCTGCACTCTTGATGTAGCAGTGATAATGGGGGACTCGGTGGGATTCACCATCTGTTTTGGGGTGGTCAGGACTGGCTGGTAGGTTGGATGAGGCTGAGGAAGGAAGGGGAGTCAGAATGACTCACAGGCTTTTATTACGAGCAGTTGCCTGGATGGTGCTGCCATTAGCCAAAATGGGAGAATGAAGGTAAGAATAAGTTTGGATGTGGGGGGAGTCCAGCGATACTGTACAATCAGCCTGTTGCATTTTAGACAAGGCTCTTGTTGGAATTTAATTGGATTTACTCATCGATACTTGCACTTCTAGATTAACTGGAGAGGAACTGCCATCTCTGTAGTGTTGATGTTCCCATTCCAAGAACATGGTATGCCTTTCCACAGATGTGGGCTTCAGTCAAGTTCTATAGCTTTCTTCTTTTAGGCCTTACACACTTTGTTTATTCCCAGAAACTGTGGGGGAGTGGTATCTGCTTTTCCCATTACAGACTAATTGAATAATGATGGCATTACAGGAAGGCTATTGATTTTTATCTGTCGATGTTGAAAAGCGGCCAATAACTCCCTGTCTAGTGAACCACCAAGCAGCTTGTCACCCAGCTCCCGGAGGTGTCAACATTTTCCCATTCTTATTTCACCTACTCCCCGTCCCCACTGTGTGTGTGCATGCACGTGTCCGTCTGTCTCCTGGCACACGCCAAACAGATCCCAGACAAGGGATCACTTCAGTCGCAGACGCTCATTTCATGCACAGATGGGCATTTCCCGCACAGATGCTTCAGGATCTAGCTCTCGGCTTTCCGGAGTGTATGATCCTATCTTCCGCACTCAAAATACTTTAAGAGTGTTCAGGAGAAGAGAAGGCAGGCACAAGATGGAGCGCTCCCCCAGGAGGGCCCAGGAGAGCGGAGGTGATGGAACTGGAGTCTCAAGGTGCTCCTCTGAAGCTCACACACTGTTTTGTTTTGTTTTGTTTTGTTTTTTAATAGGAGCACTCCTCAAGTCTTTGTTCCGGGTGTATTTTCTCTTTTAAGCCAAAATTGAGAAGCTCTCAGCAACTTAATTTTCCTGACAGTAAACTGAGCCTGAAACCTAAAAGGAGAAGATGCTGCCCAAGTCAGACACACTCAAAGGCCCTAGAAGTCTGGGGCTATTCATATGCAGTCACGTTTCATCGTATTTTCTCATTGCCTGTATATAGTCTGAACGTAACTTGCTTTATGTTTTAAGGGTGAGCTCCAAATACCCCTTCTGCAGTTGGCTGAATCACTGCCGCCCAGGCTGGGCAAAGGCCTTTGCCAGTTTTAGCAGGATGGGCAGTCTGGAGCCCATACTGTGCCTTCTGTGAATTAGAAGGAAGCGCCCCCACTCCACAGAGGACACACAGAGCCACAGCCTGGAAAGCAAGGTGGTACGGGGCAATGGAGGGGCGCTCCTGGCCAGGAATCCCCGGACTCCCCGGGGTCTTTGGAATTGTCAATATTTTCAACATCCTCATGGAAATCATCTCTCATCTATCTTCCCCTGTCAATAAGAGTCCAATTCTGTCGCTTCTGGTTAAAATCAGTGTATGCCACCAGACAGAATCTCTCAGGCCTCACCCAAAAATGCCATTTATGTGGTCTGCCTGGAGGGCGTGGCAGATACCCTTTGAAATGAAAACACAAGCTTCTGTCTGTCCCCTCTGGAGACATAAGATTCCATCACGGAATTCCATTCCTGCAGCTCACTGCTGGCCCTCCCGTTTCCCACCCAGCTGTGGTTCTGAGCTAGCCACCCACCACCAGGTGGTCCAGGTGAAAAGAGAGGTAGCTCCCCTACCCAGAAGGGCCTTGTTACAAGGGCCTGGCTCAGGCCTGGGCAGCTCCAGCCTTAGTTTTCCAAGATTCCTTTCTTTATTCACATCATTTAAATAAAAAACAAACAATCTCCATTGTTGAAACAGATTGTGACAGCCAGAGTCACTGTTCTGCCCTGGAGCACGTGGACTGTCACTGCCTATGACAGCCTTCTAATCACTCGTCTCTGCCCAGCCGGTTCCACCTGACCTCAGCTTTGCTGAATCAGCAGGAGCTACAGAGAACGGTCTCCTCCTCTTAAAGAGAATGTCTCCAGTAGACAATATTTATCAGTCATTGATAAGATTCATGGTAAAGCGGGCTTCATGCAACATATAAAACAGACAGTTTAAACAGATAAAGAAGACCACACATTTCCAGACACACAAGCTCCCGGCTCCCTAGCCAA